AAAAAAAAAAAAAAAAAAACACATCTTAGTAAAACCAATACCTTCTCAGCTTCACATCGAAGCTAAAATATGCTTCTTGTATAAATTTGTCGATCAACGTACATTAAGTTATTGTAAATATGTAAGGATTTCAACTTTACTTAAATGTCTTACCATAATTCATTTTTTCAAGACCTTTCATGTTTAAATTAGCAATGCAATTATGAAATACTATTTGTGCTTCTCGTAAATTTGTGATTGACAAATAATTGATAACTTGATCAAGATTTATTTCTGCTGATGCGGACTGTATTAGTCCCTAAAAAAAAATAACATGTTTTCTTCAGTAAGTTATAGTCATTTGAAAAAACTTAATAATTAAAAAACTGTCGTTTTAAATGATTTCTTGATATATTTTCGTAAAACTAAAATTATATATTGTACTTATAATAAAATTTTATTTCATAAAAAAAAGATGTGTATAATAATGGTAATTTATTAGTTAATTTTTACTTACAGTTAACACTGAGTCATCTAAAACCAAATACGTATAATAAACAGCAAAACAATACTTTTCGAAGGGTTTCTCTAAAATTGAAAAAATGTTTTTTGCCAATGCACTAGCGACTTCATTTAGAGTATAATCACTAGTAATAAATTTTATAGTAAATTCTGCTGTTCTTATACAGAATTTGTGTTTCTTGTCTCTTTCTCGATGTGTCTCGTAACGATCTAAAGCGTAGTAAAACTATTAGCTTATTTATTTATAATGAATAGACATTGTATAAATTTAAATTACTGATTGGTTGCGTATAATATCCACTCAGGGAATAAGTATCTACGCAATCTTGCAGAATTTTATATGCTCCATCAAAACGTGTATAAATTTGTTGAGCGAATGTCTCCAGATTGTCACTTTTCTTAAAATATAAATGATTTTATAACTAAAAAGTGATATTAAAAGAACCAATATAGTTAATATATTATAGTATAATGAATGTTTTATATGATGGAAAAGCCTTTAAATATATTATTGTATTCATATTAAAAATATACATAACTAAATAACAAAACTTTAATCTTTACTACTCTCTATTTGCTTATAAACTTAAGGAAAATTTATAGATATATATATGCACATCAAAGTAGATTGATTTGCAAAGCAAAATAACATTAATTTCTTAATAGTTGTCATCATTTTATATTGTATTTCAGCAAAATAAATTTACTAGGGCTGAGAATATCAATGAAAATGAGTCCTAATTACAATAATTTATAAAAAATAATTACAATATAACTGGAGTGGATCATTTTATATTGAATCTTAGTGAAATAGATTAGCTAGTACGCAGATTCACAATATAAATGAATTACAATTAAACTAAAGTGAAATCATAAAATTTTAAACCATTGAAATATTATTAATATTAATATTTTGTTATTTTATACCCCAAGATTTTCTAATGTAAACAATCTTGAGTGGAAATCTGTACAACATTTATCAAAGTGCTTGGTAATAATAGATTTATCTAATTTTAAATATTCAACCAATTTTTGACTCATTTCATTTGGATCCATTTCACGAGAAATTATATTATCCCTTAATTTACATAAAAATGTATTGATTTCTTCTGTAAAATTACAAATTAATATTTATAAATTAATTATACATATGAATTTTATATTCAAATACTGGTTGGCTTGAATTATAACTTTATAATACTGTTGAATTGTTATCATGATGGAATCCATTTTTTACTAAATTTACTAGTATCACTCACATATTATACAAAACTAAATAGGTCGTATTGTTGTAAATGNTTTACTAGAATCATTCACATATTTTACAAAACTAAATAGGTCGTATTGATGTAAATATTTTTAGCATTTGTATTTGGATTTTATTAGGGCATTGAAATGATTTTTAATAATTTTCTACTTAATTAAATAAAAATTATGTTTTTTTTTCAAATTTGTAGATCAACGTATAATTTAAAATATATAAAGATTTCAAAGATTCTTAAATGTTACCATAATTCGTTTGTTCAAGACCTTTTACGTTGAACTTAGCAATGCAATTATGAAATGCAATTTGTGCTTTTGGTAAATTTTTCGATGATAAATAATTGATAACTTGATCAAGATTAATTTCTGCTGATGTGGACACTATTAGTCCCTAAAAAAAAAATAGTACAATTTGTATTGTGCATAATCGAAACCTTATTGACAAAAATTCAACTTTGATTATTATTNGTGCATAACCGAAACCATATTGACAAAAATTTAACAGTGATTATTATTACTATCGTAAAACGCTTTAAAATGAATGTGCTTTAAGATATGTTATTAAATTTTTTTTTTTTTTTGAGTGTTTTTTTTATTTTGTGGAGTTGAGCCTTATAATTATATAATCCTTATATTGTTTTAAATCATACAAAAATTTATTTTCATAAAAAAAAAAACAGGTATATAAAAAGATAGTAAATAAATAAATCCATAAATTACCATTTAATAATGGTAATTTATGGATTTATTTTTACTTACAATAGACAGAATTGTTTGAAATCTCAAATAAATCATGTTTTGCAAATTGATTGATCTAGAAAATAGATTTTTTAATTTTTCTATTTGTAAATATTTTTTATATTAATGTATCTTAAGAATTAGGGAATGCAAAAATAATAAAACACAACGACACAATTTTGTTTATTTTAAATAGATAATCTTTTATTTAGTGTTTCAAGCTATTCTACAGTATTATACTATAGGAAAATTATGACCAATAATATGCGTATAAAACATTTATGATTGTAGTAAAATTGTATACAACTAACAATTTAGTGTGTAAAATTAACAATATAACATAATACATTATATTATATAAGTGCTGCAAGTTACAACCTTTTTGGATTGTAAATCGATAATTTAATTGATAATTATCAATAAAAAATTGATAATCTTTATTTTATATTACTTATAAACAAAAACATAACTTATCTGTCGCAACATGTATACTGTTCAACACAATTACTTATTATTTATATATAAGTCAATTTATCTATTGTTAAATATGCTATCTCAATATAATAACCATGTAGTGTATAATTAGATACAATAAACTAAAATGATCACTAAAAGCGCTGACAACAATATCCCTGGGGTACTATCATTCACTATAAAAAATACTGAATTCTTTTCAGACTAGAGTTCGCTTTCACCGAATTCAATTAAAAAAACACAGCACAGGGGTCGCGGCATAGTTGGATCAAGTATAATGATAACTGACAGTGATTAAAATTACTATAAAAAAAAAACGCTTCGATGCAATTCTTTAGATAGTGTTGAATTTTAAAAAATTGGTGGATTATTCCAAAAGCTGCATGATCTGCTAGTTCCTCATTAATATTCTGATTAAGATAAAGTATGTCGAATGAAAGAAGGGTTATTCAAAAATATTATTTTTCATAAAAAAATTGTGTTAATCCATACACTTTTCAAAAAATTATAGCATAATAAAGTTAAAAATGTAAAATACAAAATCGAAAATTTTCACTCAAAAATAGCATTTGGTAGCCATTTTCACAGTGAAGATGACAAAATAAAGTCCGAAATTTTTTTTTTCCATGATAAAGTATATTACATCAGCTTTAATTTAAGATATATATAAAAGTGTCAGACTTTCCGGAACACTTCCAAAATTTAAGTTGGAAAAGTTCTACTTTCTATATAAATTTTTGAACCTCCCCTATGTAATATTGTATTATTACTTATAATATTAAAATATTATATTATGTTATCTTTTGTACATGTATGTCATATATTATGAATTCACAAGATCACCAAAACAGGGTTCCCTTATCTAAGACTTAAAATAATCAATAAAGTAGTCAATTAAATCTGATTATCGTACAGATTCAAAGTCACGCCCATGTGAGGGTTCTCAACTAAGTCCAGCCAATCACATTCAACTATTAATTGAGATCTACAGTTTCTAAGATCACACTAGGGATCGCTACACGACCCTCGTCTACTATAAAAACCCATTTTTTCCTATTAAAATCAGTTCTTTCGGCTATTTTAAATTACACAAAATCTGCGACACTCTACTCAAGATTCTACTCTCTGGGACTTAGTTTATTTTTTAATTTATTTGGACTTAGAATATTTTTCAATTTTTAAAACACTTAGTCGTTTTTTTTTTATTTATTTGGACTTAGAATATTTTTCTTTAAAACTAAATGACACTTAGAAATTTTAAAGTGAATTTTGTTTTGGTGAATCTTTTAATTTAATTTAATTTGTTCATTATATAATGATATTTTATTTTTATTTTACCATGGAAATAAATGTCAATTAATATTTTAAAATAAAACATTTTTTTTTTTAATAAAACCGAATCAACTCTAATTTTCTCAGTTAATGATAAATATTGATTATATGACTAAGTGTATTGCAACTCTATACTTACTGGGTAGCTAATCTTCTGTGGTTTAATGTCTTTGTTCTAACGAACATCGCGCCGGCAGACAGAGTAAAGGTTGCAATTAAATATTTTTAAAGTTAGGTGTTAGGTTAGAATATATTTGTAAGCCTATGTGTATTGGGTAGCTAATCTTCTGTGGTTTAATGTCTTTGTCTTAACAAACATCGCGCCGGCAGACAGCACAGAGAAACTTACAAATATATGTTTTTAGTGTTTAATTTTTGTCTTGGTGATTATTGTGCCGCATCCTTTCAAGGTGCTTTAATTTAGCACCGGGACACATTGGGCCACCACAATTCCGCCCTGACAAATCTTTTACATAGATATAAATATTTCTGAATCTTGTTTTGGCCAGGCCAGAGGAAAATTTAAGAAATATTGGTGTCGATCTCTCAATAAAATATAATCTCTCAAACAATATACTCATTCTACTAAGTCAACTAAAGATACATTATTTGATTATAATTATAAAAATATAGAGTGTATAGAATCTCTTGCATACAATAATACAGTCATAGATTTTGTGTAACGGTTTCGTATTATTTATAATTAAACGCTTTATTCTCAAACGGTCATATTTACTGTCGAAATCAAAGTGTACAACGTGTGAAATACAGTGTAAACTCATAATCAACATTGGATTGTCAAAAATAAACATTACACTACGTGGGATACAAGGTAAGTACAAATTTAAATTCCCGCTTTCAAATTATAAATACTATATTGCGTAATAAACCATTAAGATAGGTAATAAAGTTTGGTAGGATAATTGACTTCATTTATTCAATATTGTTCAACCCCGAGATCAGTTCATTATTTTTGTCACAACGTTTTTGTGCATTTTTATTTATTTGATCATTACCCTCATGTATTTAAACTCCGTTTATTCACCCCTCTGAATCATTTTTTATTCATATTATTATATTCTTTGCACCCTTACATATCTTGCCACATTTAAACATGTGTTACTCCGCCATTTACCGTCTTATTAATTAATTTTTATTACCATTCGTCCCCAATACCTACCGCCTATTTCATCACCTTCATCTTATCTTATAATTCTAAACTCCACCATAATAAGTTTTAAAAATTAATTTCTTTTTTTTTTCTTTTTGGTTTATTACACCTAAGGGCAGGTTAAGTGTTAAATTTTCAAAAAAATGATGAAAGGAAAATATCAAAGGTTTTATTATAAAAAATAAATTAAAAAAAATTGTTTTGTTGATTTTTGAAAAATTTATGGAAGTTTTAAGAAAAAAAAGTGAAAAAATTACTAAATTTACCGATTTTTAAATTTGTAACTTTTTTGGAGGTTTCCCCCATTTCCGGGGAACGAGGGAATTTTTTTCAATTTTTGAGGGTAATGTCTTCGACTAGAAACGATTTGTGATCTTTTGACGTATCATTGAAAGAAATCGGTTCGGTGAGNTATAATTAGATACAATAAACTAAAAAGATCACTAAAAGCGCTGACAACAGTATCCCTGGGGTACTATCATTCACTATAAAAAACACAGAAATCTTTTCAGACTAGAGTTCGCTTTCACCGAATTCAATTAAAAAAACAATTGTTAGCCACGACCCCGTGTTGTTGTCGGTTATCTTTTTATGCTTCTTGCTTATATATCCACACGAAAAGAATTTGTTTTAATTTTTTATCATGTGACGAAGTACGAATCCAATACCACTGAGTATATATATACATAACGAAATATTTATTGAATCACTTCACAGCAATTTGCAAGAAGAAAAGAAATAAGTAAATTTATGTTATCCCAATTATTTAGAGTTAATAAATCTGAGTAGAGAACGACGAAGCAATAGATAATTTATTAGATCAATAACTTTAAATGTGTAGGGATTAACAAAGATGTTAAATAACATGTCACAATGAATGCTTTTATATATGTTTATATGTTTTATCTTAGATGTACTGCAGTACGATAACACTCCGTGTATTTTTTTTAGTCTCGCGCTGTTCGTCAATCCAGTGACACTTTTTATTTGTACTCTTTTTTGTGTTGTATAAAATAATTTTTCATTATTAAAAATTATTAATTATTATAAATTTTAATTTTAGTATTTTGTAATAAATATAAACACCAAAACACTACAAATGTTAATTTTGACTGGTTGGTTAAAATATTATACAATAGAACGTTATATGGTATTCGTAAACTGGATCCACCGTTTCGTTGCCTTAAAGATGTTTTAAAAAACCTAGCTTCATTTCTACTGTATAAGTTAGGCTCTGGTATTTGTGGACTGGCTCTGGCATTTTTTGGCCTCTTAGGTAGGACATTAGAAACTAACCAGACAAAAGTTTATTACACCTCAATTAGAGGTACTGCGTATATTATTTTTATATCTACTTGTCTTTGTCGTTCTAAACCTTCCAACCATACGACCCCCATAGAACCACAATATCAAGTTCTCACCATATACAGCACAAGCCGATTCTTATTTTATTAATTTTTGTTATTTGAATTATAACAATTAACCGATAGCGTTTAACAACATCATAACGTTACTATATTAAATAATATCTACAATTTTTCTGATTACGTCGAAATTTTAAACAACTATAACTCGTTGAAATTAAAATAGTAATAAACATTTTTTTATCAAATTGAATATATCTGATCATCAAACTTTGATGATTAAAAAAGAAATGTGATAAAAATGGAATGTTGATACAAGTTTAGTATATAAGGTATGGTAATGGAAAATCAATTTTTTGAATAAAGCAATTGTAAAAGAACCATTATTGTTAAAAAAAATAAAATAATGATTAGCTATCATATGAATTACAAGCAATTTAATACATATAGTGAACGTGTGGGTGTAGTCTGTACTGATGAATTATACGTAAGGGGCTGGGAGAATAACACGCATTGTTTTATCTCATAATTAACCCTCCGGAATAGTTCTGTTATTAAACGAAAATTATTTACTGGTTGATTTTATCAAACGTCAAAAATTTCAAATGTCTAGGTATTACAATAGTTTTCTGAGATATAATATAAAAGTTTGGAAAATCAGTTCGATTAAAATCTAGGTCATCCATTCTTAAAAACAAAATAAATATTGTTTATGTTTTTATTTTGCATATAATATATCATTTTATAGATAAACAAATTAACTAAAATTTTTTTTGGATTTGGGTTTCCCTCCTGAAACGAAAAATATTTAAACAGTTGTTCTACCAGGTTTTGAAATCTTTCATAACTTATGATACAGTAAATATTTTGCGTTTTTTTTTTTATTTTTTAATAGTTTTTACATTTCTTTTACGTTAAAAATATATTTTTAACTTGGTCCAAAACTGTAAAAATTAAAACAAACACAATGTTCTACTGAATCAAAAGTTATGCATGATGTCATAATCTGGTAGGATATCTTGTATAATCCTATGATAATGTTGCACAAACTTGGGACCCTTCAAGCTGGTCCAAACAAAATTTATAAATACATATTGTTCAAAGCCTTAATTACTATAATTAAATAGAATAGCATATTACTACACAGTCAATTTTGGTTAATAACGTGGTCGTAGTTTTCTGCGTGCAATTACCAATTTTTATTTACTCAAAACAATTAAATTAACAATTATAAGAATTTTTACATTTTATAAACTATATTTTCATTAATTTATCCACTGCAGAAAAGGAGGACTCATTTTGTATGTACATAATATATTTTGGTCTCCACATTTATCGATAAAAAATATTCCTACTACAAATTATAAGAAAAAATCATTATTTCTTTAAGTTTTTTTTAAAAAAGTTCAGTTTATTTTATAATTTATTTATTCGTCACAAATTCATGTTTAATACATAACATAAGATGAAGATATTGTTTTTTGTTTAATAAGAGATATATAATTTTTTTGGATGTTGAATTTTATTTTTATGTATCCTTATAACTTAATAAGTATTTTTTTGGTACATTATTTTCTAAGTGATATTTAGTATTATCCAAAAGCTTGGGTAATACCACGCGCATGGAATGGCTTTTTAAAAAAATAGTTATAAATTAAGAACTAAGCAATAAACTACTATATAGCTAATTATTTTTAGTAAATAATTTAATTTGACTCAACATAAAAAAAAATCAACTCAATTCAAGTGAAATTGAATTACATTTTGTGGTTAAAATTAATACCATGAAGTAATTCCATACACACTCAATGTATTAAAATACTTATAACTTAATAAGTATTTGTCCTAATATTGTTAACGACCCATTAAACAGTTTTGTAATAAATTTATAAAAACAGACTATTTAAAAATGTTGAACAATTTTATAATAAAAATTGTATTTCTAATATTCAAAACAAATAATATAATATATAAATAAGATATAAATTATGATATTTAAATGTAATTAATTATTAAAAAATATACACTAAAATTTTATTGTATGTAAAGTTATAACAGTTGTCAGTTATATGTATTCCATTCTATGTATAATATATTTTAATAACATAGTTACCTAAAAATTTGACCGTATATTTGATGAAAATACTGCAGTTGTATTTAACAAGTAAATTAAATTTGTTATTTTTTTAACGATTTATATATTCTTGTTTTTCAAGCGAAATTTATTTTTAAAAATCTAAATATCAATAATCGAACTTTTGCAAATACAAACCGATAATAGTTTTAAAATAATTTTATTTAAATAACGTTTTTTGTATTTACGTCATTAGTATAGTTTTAGTTTTAATTGCTAGAGAGGGTAGCAAAAACAACCCACGCACTCAGACCTGTAGATTAATTATGTGTACCTCCAACCGAATTATTTTATTTCAATTTCTTTACATGTGTTTCCACCGGAGTGTTGTTGCCATTAATGAACCTAAGATTATATTCAGATTACACATCATGTACTGCTCGATTACTCTTAAAATAATGAAAATCCTTTTCTTTTTTAAATGGAAATAAATTAATTTACAAAAATTAAATATATTTAATAGTATACGTTAGTTTGTATAGAATATATCCCTATTAAAAATATTTAAATATTCTATAATTATAAAATATTAGCTACTGGGTCAATCCATGCCAAATCATCCAGAAGTCGTTGCACAACTACCTCATATTTTTATTAATTTTTCAGGGTTTATTCTTTATACTATGATTAGATTAAAAGAATTTTTTTTTTATGACCTTCCCATTTTTATGGCTATTTTAATGCAAAAAATGTTAAAAAAAGCCAGAACATTAGAAAACACACAGATTATTCAATATTAACTCAATTGAATTAAAATTTTAGAATTGACCTTATTATAACTTAAAGTTTTCATTATAAAAGAAAAAAATTATGTGAAATTCCAAACTTTAATATTTTTCTAAAAATGGTACTTTTTTTGTGATAAATTGGCGTTTCTGAGCTCATTTAAAACCATAAAGAAGTTATTAATTTTTAGTGATTTTCAAATATGATATTGTATAGTGTATAATCTATGTTTCAGCTAAATTTCAAAAATTTGCTTAGTATTATTGTATATGTAATATATTTTGTTTTTTTAACGTTGTGACTATTTTGAACTTTTTTTACATTGAAAAAGCCATAAAAATGAGAAGGTCGTAAAAAAAAAGATTTATATTTTTATCTAATTATAGTATAAAGAACAAACACTGAAAATTTAAGAAAAATATGAGGTGGTCGTGCAACCACTTCTGGATGATTTATTTGGCATACATTGACTACTATGTTTTTTGGTTATGTACTACTGTACGGAGATCGCTAAGTTCTCCCCACGAGAAAGAACAAACCACTTTGAAATATGTTCGACTAACAACAGATACACGACTGCGTGACGTCCACCACAGAATTTGAAGTGTTCCCATCGAACGTCAAGGTGGTTCTCTTGTTGGCCAACGAAAGTTCTGAGGCCAACATCAGTTCGTCGCCACGCTGATCTGTAAAACCGGATCCCCATGCCAGGGCATTTGCGTTTAAGTCCTTGGCGTAAGTTACATACCATTTTTTATTTTTTTTGTAACATTACTGCCATTATTGCCACAATAATGGCAGGTTTGGTTTAATTAACCCAACCGTTCCGGAACTGCCGTTAGGCACTACTTTGGAGCGGCCTATTCCTGTATCTATACATCACATAGTCGTGTTGTGACTCCGCCTGAAGTTAATCAACAACTGAGTCACAATACGGCGTGGCCTCCCCGTTAGCCAGACCCGAAATTCGGATCGGTTGCCCAGTCTGTACCACGTGTTGGTCGGGGTAGGACTTTGTGAAAGTTGGGGCTTAATAATTCATAAAAAGTTAGAAAACGCGTATGCGACATAAGGCGTTAGTCAGACTGGTGGGCGTGACCGCCTCTGTCGAACGATTTTTTGTTTTAGTTTACGTCATGTTCCTAACAATATTAATAATAAATTTAAAGGAATTAAAAAAAACAAATTTTCCAATGTCTCAAAAGTAAAACGATATTTTTTTTCGTTTAAATTTTTTTGCCATTTTTATTATTTTCATGTAAGCAGCAAAATTAAATAAATAGAAATTTTAAATAAAAACTAGAAACACGAATAATAATTGCACATATTTTTATTTTATTATTAATTGGTTGTATGACTCATGTAAATTCTCAAAAAATAAAATCTGTAAGTTACCATATTTATTAGGCCTGTACTATTTATGTTAAAAAAAAATATTCCGTCTATTGTCAAGTTGCCAAAAATGATTAAAAGTATTTGTTTTGTTTTAATGACGACATCTATTATTAACCCTTAAATAGTCGCGTGGGGGTCTAGCATACCCTCACATAAATAAAAACGGATGTATTATATTGCATAAAAGGTGTTCATAGATATAAATTTAGAAGATGGTTTTTATAGTAATATTGAATAGATTTTCATAATTAAATACCTTCGCAAAAAAAAATTAACGACTTAAAATATCCATCAAAGTTGAAATGGGTCATATTGACCCCCACGCGACTTGTAACGTTATAATTTTTTTTTGGACATGTATTTTTTTCAAAATATCGTTTTATCGTAAATGCAATGTTATAATTGATATAATATTGTGGAATTGGGATTATGTGGATCTGCCACCGACTGTGCAATTAAGTTTAAAAAATAAATAATCTATTGAGAATTTCCACTTGATGATATGGAACAAATACGACCAAAACATGTAATAAATACATCCCGTCGCAATGTGGACACATTGATTATCGGTGCCCCATTTACAATTACCACTATTCAGAATTGCCCCTCCTGACCCTACTCGTATTATAATAATTAAATTGTATAGTAATATTAATAATAAAAAAATTCAATTCAGAAAAATAATTATGTAAATGTAAATACACATAAAACTAATAAATATAAGCCGTTTTTGAGCTCAAAGAGATACAAGAAAAATTAATAAAAATACATTTTGAAATAGTAAAAACTTTTATTTACCGTCTTAAAAATAAGATTTTGCAGTTAAAATAATTTTTTTACAAACCAAAATTTTTTAATGAAATTTTGAAAATTAAGTTTTTTTTTTTTTCGTAATATAAGTTTTAGTAATGCACATAATTTTGTAATTTTTTTATTTTTTAATTTTAATTTTTTAGTTTTTATGCATATTTATATATATGGTAACAAATAATGTCTTTGAATTTAATAAATGAACTTTTTTATACATATTTTATACGTTTTTAGAAATGGAGTCTAATAAACCCCCACGCGACTATGAACGTTAAAAATAGGTACGCGCCTGCTTAAGGGTTAATGAGTTGTTTTTTACCTTATATTTTGTATTCTTTTTTTATAGACTTAAAAACCATAAAATTTATAAAAGTTTTGGATAAAAAATGTCGAATGCTATAAAGGGTTGAACAACTTTTAATTTAAATGTATAAATATCAGTTAGGAAAACAGTAACTATTTTTATAATTTATAACTGAAAAAAATTTTTATTTGAAATTTTCAACATTTAGTGGAAGTAGAAATTAAACAAATGTTCTAAATTACTTATTAATAGGGAGCCTACAGCATAACAGTTGGAAGGATATAAAAATACTCTCAAAAATGGCTCGCATTTAACATGATACTAGTAATCTTAAACTATAGAGTATTGTTGACATTAGCAAATAAAAAACTGTCTGGCCTTCATGTCAATAAGTCAACGGTGCCGCATACGGGTACGCACTTTATAGTCGTAGTACGATTATTGCCTATTAAAATGATAATGCATGGGCACAATAGGGGATAATTAGGTCACTTAATTAATGTACAAAGAATTCTTAAGAATCAAAAGTTAAGTGAATTTTTGATGACTAAAAAAATATACATATTCATAAACCAAAAATTCTATAAACTCAGTGGTATAGAATTAAGTTGTTACGTTGATTATAATAATTACATTATAAATTATTTCATATATATATAGAATGTTTGGCGAAGAAAAAAATAATTTTACAATGAAAAATACGAGTATTTAAAATTTTATCGAATCGAACTTGATTCTTTGTAGCTGAGTAATGAATTTTATTTAATGAATAAAATGTAAATTAACTTAAATATAATGATTAAAAAGAGTATCTCAATAGATATTTGAAATAATATTCTACCAAAGTATGAAATTCAATAATAATTGCATGACTCAACTTAAGATAATTTATGTCCATTTATACTTTTGCGTGTTTGCAAAGCTGTAAAAAATAATTTTAATAAGTTATTTTCAAATTCTTAACATGCACTATAAAACTGAATTATTAAACAATTATGTTGATGTCTATGAGAAAAATAATGTTGTTCTGTTTGTTGACAAAAATAACTTTATATTTGATTATATTGTAGTGAAAAGTGAGATGGTGTGGCCGAATTGGTCATGCACCATTGCCTGATGTGTACTGTTTTAAAAACAATTTTGTAGTAAAACCAACTTAAAAAAAAACAAAATTTTATCGTGAATATTATTTCTTGTAGTCAATAAATATAAACATGAAATGGGTCAGTTTTCAGTCCTACTACATGTACGTGGTAGTTTGACTGACCAACACCGTGTGCTAAAGGCCGCGGTACAAAGTCTGACAAGTGAGGCGCAGACGACGACGACCCGTCGCAATTTTTAATAGTATTTTTCATTTATAGTAATTTAAATTAACAATAAAGAAAACAGGGCATACGTGTTTTATGTATTTTTATAATTCGAATATATTTAAAACATTAGTTATGTGCTCTGGTTGCTGTTTTAGCGACAAACATGTACATACCACTTAGTAAAAACCTTATTTCATACAAGGCCACAATATCACTATACATGTACAATATCACCATAAAAAAAAATTGTAGTCATCTTTGGTATTATTAACTTGATTAGAATCTTATATCAGAATTATCCCCATTCAATTTTTTTAATATCAATTTATCACCACAAATAAAACTAAAAATGGTTAAAGCAATGAGTCTTATGACATCGATTCAAAAAATACCATATGAATAATTTTAAAAACAAATGAAATATACGATTATACTAATATAAATATTGATTACTTCATATCAATCCAGTCTAATAATTTGTTTGACAGATTTTGTACATCACTGGTTCTTGGATTTATATCCTACATTGTGAAACAAAAATGACCAATAAAATAGGAAAATTGTTGATAAATGATCTCTTAGTAGTAAATGATAATGTGGAGAGAGAGGTTAAGTTGATTAAAGATTATAACAATCTGTTAAAAGGACGTTATACAGTCAATTTTAGAGCGTAAAAACATGTCTTCTTAAAATACATATTATACACTAAATACTGCACTTGGAGCAATAACACTCATAATAAAAAAGAAAGAGAACAATATTTTGTTAAATGTAGATATTTGTAGCGCCGTACGGAGTAGTAAAATTTCGTTAGCTGGGTTCCTCTCTTCGCTACGTAGGTGGTTTTCTTCTAGCATAATTAGCATGTTGGGTTTCGTCGCGTAGCATGGTAGTTGTCTGAAAGCGCATAATAATCAAAAGTAGCTACGTTAATAGCGGAGATAAACAATATTTCCGTGTACGGTCAAATTTGCTACTGATGTAGAAAACAAGTGTTATTATTACTGCTATTATTGATGTCATAAAGTACCCGCGATAAGATGGTACGGGGCTGCCGTTTAAAATATGGCAGCGAGTGAACAATAATAATAACGGTTTACTGGGAATCGGCCGCTTTGACAAGGTCAGACGTAAATATACTATTTTTATCTACCAATAGACTGTAACAATCGGCCGGAAATTAACTTTCTGTCGATATCAATAAGGTCTTTATAATAAACCGTAACCAACATTTTTCAACGACAATAGTTACAGCGGGCTGTATTAGATAAATTACTCGAACTTTATTTTTATAAAAAATTTTCCAGAGACCAAGTCAAATCTAATCCCGTTACATATATTCTTATCTACCGTCATTAAAGTTATCATAATCTAATATCATGTTGCAATACATATATATTGTATATCATACATAGTAATTAGTATAATATAATATTCTTAAATCTATAATACGAACATGTTTTTTGGTTATTTTGTTTAATCCGGACTTTCATTAAATCAGACAACCTAGAGCCCTTATTGGTTCGGATTAATGAGGTTCTACTGTAATTAGAAATGAAACTGAATCGGCTCAAAGCCTCTTACCTTAACTTCTCTCGGCCGGTTTAGATTTCGTACTAGGTCTAGTTTTCTTTACTAATACATTAATTTCAGGATTTGATTCTAGATCATGTGTCAACTTTCTTTTTCTCACAACTGCTTCATTATTTTTAATACCGNAACTTTCTTTTTCTCACAACTGCTTCACTATTTTTAATATCACCAAACAATAAATCCTATAAGTTATACATGTATTAAATCTATGATTATTGAAATAATAAATTGTTTTATAATAATTACAGTCTTGCGAGGAGTATCTGAAGAATATTTTGTAATTTTTCTTTTAACAATAATTGATGTCTGGCTAATAATATGTCCTTCTGTTAATGTACTGTATCCAAGTAGAAGTGAATCTGGAGACTAGAAATAAAATAAAATTAGGAAAAAAACTGTTAACCTTTTTAAAAGGTAAAATAATTACCGATCCTGTTGGGGATACAGCAATATCTAAGAATTCATCGTCTGAATCATCTGTATATGATGTATTGCTCTCAGATAATGTTGACACTGATCTAGAATCATCTGAATGAGCAGTAAGAGAACCACTGTCCTGTGAATTAGGATCATGATCTTCAAGTGGATATCGTCGTCTTACACGGCGTTTGTATTTTGCAAACTAAAAACCATAAATTACAATATTTATTTTCATTAATATTGAATTTCTAGAAAATTATTAAATTTAATAGTAAATTTGATATCTAACATTGATCGTTCTTTTTAACTATAGCTATTTAACAATACATAATTAACAGTTTAGAGATGAATAAAAAATTTAATTAAATTTACTGTAATAAATAAACAGACTAAGGTTAATGATTTAATTTATGCTGGGATTAATTAATGTTAATATATTATTAATACAAACTTCACAGTTTAAGAATGCACAACAGTATGGAATCTTGCTTGACATAATTATTGTACAAATAATATACAATGTATAACTAATACAAATTTGTATAATTATATTATTTAAAATATCTTTTTAAGTTTTGTGTTTACATAAAATAATATATTTTTAAGGATTTAAAAAATTATTTTATGATTTAGTTTAAATAAATATTTGTTTATTTAAGGTATTAATAATAAAAATATCTATACAATTTAATTGTTATTGATATATTAGCCAAGATTAAATTAAAATAGTTACATGCGTTTATTGTATATCTTACTTTAGACATCACTACAACCATACATTTTGATGAATTTTCTTTTTCGATTAGACTGTTCATAATTTTTATAACACATTTCAATGGGCTATCATTTATAGTTTTTGAGTTTCCCTTGATTAATCTATAAATAAAAAATAATTTGTCTCTTTCTAACTCTCTCTACATCCTATTTTCGTAAACCCCTCAAAATATGAGTCACCTGGAAGAATTTTCCGTTTCTGCGCTTTAAAATTCGCGTTCTTCGACTGCAGTCTCGAAACTGGTACTGTACAACAGAAATTATTGTTTCACATCTTTTGCGACCTCAATGAGGATTTTTTGGCACTCTAATTTTTTTTTAATTTTTAATATTGTAATTATTCATTAAGTAATATATTCAAATAGAATATAAACACATATAATGATCAGCATTAAATTTTAATTTGAAAACAACAATAATTTATAAATAATTAACCCAACCCGTATTACTATAGTATTAATGTTAGTACAATTTAGTTAGTTAAATAGTAAGTGTACAACTAATAGTCTGGGTAAGCAATTTTCAATAATGTTCGATCTGATGTTGTATAAAGTATCATATAAATATAAAATTGTGAATGATTATTATAACATTATTCATTTAATAATGACTGTAAATTCTAGAACTCAAATTATATTATTGTGGTTATTCGTAAAAGTTAAGTGTACAGTCCACTCCAACACGTCACCGTGTCTCATCTTAAAGTGGGAACCCAATACAAATACAGGTTATAATGTTACAAAGATTTTAATATTTATATTAAAAGCCCTTGAAAATGGCTTTGAAATGAATATTAAGATTATTTTTTACTTTTTTTTCTCGTAAAAATGTATTAACTTTATTAATATTGTAATAAATTAAAAAAAAATAAGCTTGTTTTACCATTTTAACAATCAACGTTTTTTTTAATTATTTTAAATATATAAGGATTTAAAAGTTATTTAATTGTCTTACCTTTTTTAATTTCAATTGTTGGATTTAAGTTTGAGTTAGCAATACAAATATGAATTAAATCGAGCGATCTTGGTAAATTTTTTAATGATAAAGTATTAAATATGTGACTTAATTTGATTATTCGTGATGTTGGATCTATTATTCCCTATTAATAGAAATGTACTATTTGGATTATGCATAATTTAAATCATTTTGTTTAAAATATATGTTAAAAAAATTTTTTTCACACACCTCGGCCAGGACAGCAGTTTTTTTAAATAATGTTAAAGGTTATTTTAATGGTGATCATTTACTCAACAGGTTATTCGTATCTAATCAAATCAAAAGTCAAATCAGAAGATTGTTTTAAATTTGGTTTTTGTTAAATGTTTTAGCTTCGATGCGAAGCTGAGAAGGTATTTTAAATCTATTATTATTAGGTATATTTGTTTTTTTAATATTTTGCCTCTTACTTAGAGGTGAATGTGCTTTATGATTACTGGTAATTTTGTTTTAGAGTATATTTTTGAAGTTGAGCCCTAAATACGTCAGTTACCACTTATTAAAAAAATTGCAATTACACATTTTTAGATGGATGACTTACTTCGATTATTTCTGTTGTTTAAAATATAATTCCCTGTTAAAAAGAGGTACTGTTTAGATTATTCATAGTTTATTCATGAAAATTAAATAGTGATTTATCTCACTATCGTAAATTTTGGAGATAATGGAGTTGTCTATACCCCTCTATACGTCTGTTGCTTAAAAAAAAAATTGTACCCAAAAATTTTTATATCATTAAAATAATTTGAAATTTGCCGGTTATAGACAATTTTTTTTTAATTGTCATATTATTTTTCTTAAACTTTCATTTAGTACAAGTTAGGAGGATACAGTTATTCTAGAACATTATCATAAAATAAAAAAACCCAGCACAGGGGGGTCGCGGCACAGTGGTGACGTGGCATAGTTGGATCAAGTATAATGATATCTGACAGTGATTAAAATCACTATCAAAAAAAAAACGCTTCGATGCAAATCTTTAGATAGTATTTAATTTAAAAAAATTGGTGGATTATTTCAAAAGCTACATGATCTGCTAGTTCTTTATTAATATTCTGATTAAGATAAAGTATGTTGAATGAAAAAGAGATTATTAAAAAAAATTGTATTGATCAATACACTTTTCAATAAGTTATAGCATTATAAAGTTAAAAATGTAAAAAATAAAATTGAGAATTTTCACAAAATAATAGGATTTGGTAGCCATTTTCACCGTGAAGACAAAATAAAGTCCGAAATTTTTTTTTT